ACCCCCGGGACCCCCTCGGCGGGTGCGGGGATCCCCTGGGGGGTGAGATCCCCAGGATCCCCCTCACGGGGTGCAGGGATCCCCTGGGGAAGGATGGGGGGTTCCCTGGATGCCGCTTGGTGGGTGCAGGGACCCCGTGGGGGCTGGAACCCCTGGAATCCCCCTCCCTGGGAGCAGGGATCCCCGGAATCCCCCTGACCGGTTGCAGGGATCCCCTGGCGGCTGGGGTCCCCAGGATCCCCCTCCCCGGGAGCAGGGATCCCCAGGGCCACTGGCAGGGCTGTCTGGAAGCACGAGGGCTGTAGCTCACCCTGTGCAAAGCCTAACGGTAATTAACAATTAATTATGCCAGCAGTGGCCAAGGCCTGCTGCCAGAGGGTTACAGGCCGTGTCATCTTGCAGGAGCCATTGGCCAGCGCTGCTCCTCGTGGCCACAGGCCCGGACCCTCGGGCTACCTGTGCTCAGCCAGGCTGAGACCGGCCACAACTCACTTCACCGCTGCCCCGGTTGGTTTTTCCCTCCGCAGCGCGGTGACAAAGACATCAGATTATTTTGTTTTCTCCTTTCCCGCTCCACAAGTTGAGGCAGCAGCTCCTCCTCGCTGCAGCCCGGGGCTGGGACCAAAACACGCGAGAAATCCGTTATTAGAGAAAAAAAAATAAATACATTCACAGCTGGGAAAACTAGAGGGCACCAGTGCTCTGATTTCATTTCCCTGCGCTCAGCTCCCTTACGGATGGGGAAGGTTAATTAGCTTGTAATTAAGCCCAATTACAAGCGGCAGAGCTTCCTTAGGAAGTGAAGCCGCACTGAGCCCCACAGCGGTTTGGGCGGCCGGGGGCTGCAGGGCTGCCCTGGCCAGGGGGAGGAGGAGGAGGGGGCTGGGATGAAGGGGATGTCTGCACAAGGCTTTCCCGACAGACAGGGAAAGTGCATGTCCAGGAAAATTAAGCCATTTTTTGCCCCATTTTTTGCCCCTCTCCAGCAAAGGGAGCAGGAGGCGGCGGGTCGGGGCCAGGGGACCGGAGCTTGGCCTCTTCCCACCCACCAGTGGCCCCGTGGGAGCCAGGAGGTTTGGGAACACCAGCAGCATGTCCCCAAAAATTTGTGACTGGCCCGTGCTGACCGAGGAGAGGGGCTGGGGCACAAGGTCCTGAGTTACAACAGCAAATATTCCTGCACACACCGTGCCCCATTGGGGCACCCCAATGTGCCCTGACACGGGGTTCTCGTCCCTTTCATCCTTCAGGTAGGAGACGATGGCTCTAGTAATTAACACCCACACTGCTAATTACTGAGCAGAGCCACACTTTGGGGAGCATCCCCAGTTTTGCAGCTTTCTTGCTGCTCGTCTCTGACGCAGGTGTCCCCGGGGTCAGCCCTGTTGGGGACACCGGTCTCCAGGACACGTCAGAGGGTTTAGGATGCTGGTGTTACCTTGGTTGCCCCAGGGGATCCTTCATCCCTCACGGACAGCTGGAAGCTTCTGAGAAGCAAAGTCCTTATTTCCAGGGCCGGGCTGCCCTTCTTTTGTTTAAGCGCGAAAAATCCCGGAGTTGCCACTAGAATTTTATTACCTCCTTGTGTCACAGAGGAAGACGTGAGTTAAGACGCATTAACAAAGTCCCTGTCCCAGCGTGACCGGCTGGAATAACCCTCGGGAGGGGAATTTTCCTGCGGGTGTGACGGACACACTTGACCCCGCGCCGTGCTCCGACTGGAGCTGGAGCCCTCCCGCCTGGGAGCGAAGGCGCCTCGGGGAAATATTTTGAAAGGTGGTTTCAAAGCCCAAAAATGCAAGATAACCAAAGCAGAGAACAAGAAACCAGAGCTAAAACAACGGCTTCTCTCCTGCCTGTACTATTGACTATTTCACTCCCCCGGTTGTTCCCATCAGAAGGGCCCCCATGGGCTCCCCCCAGCCGCAGCGGGACGGCACGGTGGGGGGACACCTCCAGCGGGGACACCTCGAGTGGGGACACCTCGTGGGGTGGGATCCCTCACCTGGGGCTGAGAGATCCTTCCTTGCCCACAGCCAGGACCTCCCCGACCTACAACAGCTCCCCAGTGCCTGAATTAGTGCTATCAAACATTGCTAATCTGTGCAGCTACTCAATACTAATTATAAACATCATATAGATAATTCCGTTAGACATAAACCGTTGTCCCATCTTGACTCCAAGATGGGACCTGGCCACAGCTCAGCTCCGCAAGGAGTTTCCAAGGCAAAGGGGGGTCCACCCTGACCTCAGGATTCAGCGGGAGGGTCTCCCTCACCCGCCCTCTGGTCTCCCCCTTGGTGTGAACTGATCTAACTCGATTCTAACTCCACTTTCCTCTCCCTGTTCCTCCCACGCAGTAATTAATAAGGTGAACCTTGCCATCCAACTTCCTGAGCCTTGGCAAACCACTGCTAAACTTCCTTAAATTCCATCAAATGTATTGAACTGCCCAATTAACATTTCACCACACTAAAACACATTCCTGCTTCTCCCTTCTGAGGGAAGTGGGAAGTGCCCCCCACTCATCCCCGACAAAGGGGATGGTGCCCTGGGGGGGGGGAGCCCACACCGGGCTTTTCACGGGTCCCAGCCACGTCCCTGACAAGTGGCACCTTCCAGCCTCCCCCTGTATTTGTGGGGGACAGAGTTGGGGCCGGGCTTGGGACCCTCCAGGAGAGCGGGGTTTGTTCCTGGGCTGCCTCGGAGGTGCCGGAGCCGGAGGGGACGAGCTGGGAGGCAGCAGCAGCCCATCCCGGTGCTGCCAAAGCTGCTCTCCCCCTCGGCAGCAGGATTTTGGGGATTTCACAAGTCTGAATTCTTCGCACGACATCCCACTTCCCCATGCCAGTGACACGCTCAGCCCTGCCTTGACAAGGTTTCCAGGAACAAATCCCCTCCAAAAAATGAAGGGAGGGGCGATCCGTGCTGTGCCAAAGGGATGATGATCCCGGCCAGGGTTCCCTCTCCAAAAGCCTTTCTCCTCCACCGGGCTGGGGACTTCAGGGGCTGCAAAGCTGTGTCCCCTCGGCCTCTTCCATCCACCGAAAATGGGAGCTGCCGGCAGCGGGGGGCTGGGGTTTGGGGCTGGGAGCAGGGAGGGAAGGGGGGGCAGGGCCACGTGGAGGGGACCTTATTTAGGGTTTCTTCACCAAGCACCCCAAAACACCTGCAGCTGATCCCAGACAGCCACCCCGGGAGGGGACAGAGAAAGGGAAAGGAAAGAAGGGGGGACAAAGAAAAAAGGGGCAAAAAATGGGGTAAAGAAGGGGTCAAGGAAAGCAGGGGGGAACCGAGGGGGCAAAGAAAGAAGGGGGGGAAAGGAAGTGAAGAAAGAAGGGGCAAAAAAAAAAAGAGGCAAAGAAGGGAAGAAAGAAAAAGGCAAAGAAGGGGGCAAAGAATAGGACATGGCAAGAGGGGACAATGAAGGGAGCAAAGAAAGAAGAGGGAAAGGAGGTGAGGACAGAAGGGGTGAAAAAGGCTCAAGAAGGGGATAAAGAGACAAGGCAAGAAGGGGATGAAGAAGGGGGCAAAAAGGGGGACAAGGAAAGGAGGGGGGAAAGGGGTGAAGAAAGAAGCGGGGGGAAGAGGTGAAGAAAGAAACAAAGAGTAAGGGGAAAAAGAAGGGGGCTAAGCATTGGACAAGGCAAGAAGGGGGCGAAGAAAGAAGGGGTGAAAAAGGCTCAAAGAAGAGGACAAAGAAGGGGACAAGGAAAGAAGGGGGGGAAAGGGGGTGATGGAGGATACAAAGAACAAGGGGGTGAAGAAGGACACAAAGAAAAAGAGGGCAAAGAAGGGGATGAAGAAGGACACAAAGAACAAGGAGGAAAAGAAGGGGGTGAAGAAGGACACAAAGAATAAGGGGGCAAAGAATTGGACAAGGCAAGAAGGGGCAACCAAGGGAGCAAAGAAAGAAGAGGGAAAGGGGGTGAAGAAAGAATCACAGAATCTTCTAGGTTGGAAGGGACCTTAAAGATCATCTTGTCCAACTGTCAACCTCACTAACAAAAATAGACACCCACACAACAAACAAGGATCATCACTAAACCAGACCTCCCAGCACTACATCAACCCGTCTTTTGAAAGAAGAGGTGAAAAAGGCTCAAAGAAGGGGGCAAAGGAGCAGACAAGGCAAGAAGGGGGCGAAGAAAGGGCAAAAACCAAAGAAACGGGCAAAGCAAAGGGGGGCAGGGGGGCTCCTCCGACCCGGGCCGGGGTTTCCCGTCGGGGCGGCCCCGTCCCGCCCCGTCCCCGCTCTCGGGGAAACGAAACCGGGGCCGTCCCGCCTCCCCCCGACCGCGGCCCGCCCCCGGCCCCGCCGCAGCCCCGCGCCC